CACACCAAGCCTGATGCTGTCAGCGAGTGGGTTTATCTAGCTTCCTCCAGCCCTAGCGTGCAGGGCAGCTGTGGGTTGGAGGACCTGCGGTGTCCTGTACCCTCATGGCTTTCCTGTCCCAGGTTCACCGAGCTGGTGGATGGCAGAGGGAGGATCAGTGCCAGGTTCGGCACTGTGTTGGGCAAATCCATCACTGTGAAGACACGTAAGTGCTCTGCTGTTTTTCTGGACCCCTCCTGTCACCTACACCTCCCCCCCAGGACAGAGCGGCAGCTAGGCAGGCTGCTGTGGGGAGCCCCCCCCGTTTGCCATCCCTGGAACACCAGGGATACAAGATACCCTGCCAGGCCTGGGAGTCCCACACCACGGGGTGGGGAAGGGGCCTGGCCCACCTGACGACAGCCCCGGGCTCACTGCGAGTCTCTGCTCTGCCCCTGCCTCCCCAGGGCTCTGTGTCCCCCAGTCCTTCAGGAAGGGTGAGGTGGTCACCCTAATTCTAGGAGTGCCAACTGGGACGGGCTAAACCACTGCCTCAGGCCTGGTGCTGCAGACAGGCTGGATCCCATCGGAGGGGCTGCCTTTGGGTCTGGTCCCGGCTGGAGGTGACATTTGACCCTCTTGTTGCCCAGAGCCAGCGGCTCCAGTGAAGCTGGAGAACGTGGAGGCGTCCAGCCAGGGCAGTCAGGCACTGCAGCTGCGCGAGGCAAAGAGCAAGAGTAAGTGCAGGGGGAGGAGAGAGGCCAGCAGCAGGGACCCAGCCCGGGTGCCAGCCTGCTCTGTCCCTGCTGCTGCCCTGCGGGGCGGGAGGCACACCGTGCCGCCTCAGCCCTGCTCGCAGCTCTCCCCAGGGGCACCCCGGGGTGAGGGGGCGGTGGGCAGGACTGTGCTGCCGCCGCCGCCCCGGGGTCTGACGGCCCGACGTGTTTCGCAGGCGGGGGCCAGAACTGCTCCACGAACCCCTGCAAGAACGGAGGCACCTGTGCCAGGGACGCCGAGTCCTACCGCTGTGACTGCCGCCCGGGATTCAAAGGCCGGCTCTGCGAGCTGGGTGAGTGCCGGGGTGCTGCCGGAGGGCCGAGCTGAGCCCCCCCCTCCTGCAGGTGGGCAGCGCGGACCCAGCCTGGCAGCTGTCCCAGCCACAGGTCACCAAGCACACCCTGTCAGCAGCCGGCTCCTCCCAGCCGAGGGGGCTCCCACCCCGCACTCAGGCTCCACTAGAGAGAGGGGGGGGCTGCCCCGTGCCAACAGCGGAGAGGGGCTGGGCTCTGCTTTTGCCAGATTTGAGCAGATCCGGGCAGGCAGGTCTGCTCCCCGCTTCTGGCTGAGCCCTCCACCTCTGCCAGGCCGCTTGGCAAGCCTGGGCACCGCGAGGCTGGGGGCTCTGCTGCTTCTTGGGGGGTCAGCTCTGTTGGGCCCAGCCCTCCCAGACAGCAGAGGGGAAGCCTGGGGGTGGGGGGGGGCCTCACCGGCCCCTCTCTACGGGGCACAGGCAGGCAGAGCCAGAGATGGGCTTGTTGGTAGCTCCCCTCTCCTGTTCCCCAAGCAGCCTGCAAGAAGGTGCCACACTCGTGCACGCGGCTGTACTCGGAAACCAAGTCACTCCCTGTGTGGGAAGGAGGCACCTGCCACTACCTGTGAGTACTGCCTGCGGGTTGTGCTCCCCGCTTCCCCTTGTGCTCAGAGCTGGGGGTGTCTCCCCCCAGCTTGGCTCTGGGGAAGGGGGAGCGAGCACGAGGCCGTCTCAGCCCCCCGGCTGGCAGCTGCCCCCTCCCCAGCGCAGGCTGAGCAGCTTTGTGTGCCCTCGAGCCCCCTCGGGCTGCCCCACCAGCTGTGTTTCAGGGCAGGGTGTTGCTAAAATGACAGCCCCGTAGCAGTGTCACCCTCCTACGTGGCAGTGAGGTTGGCTTTGGTGTGTGTGACCCTCAAGCAGCAGTGGGTCCCCCGCCTGCTGCTTGCCAGCCCAGCTCCTAGCTGCCTCTCCGTCTGCAAGCAGAGGGCTGGGGCCAGCCCTGCGGCAGTGCCAGGGCATGGGGGCCTCTGCTCTGCCCCCTTGCCCCTTCCAGCCTTCCTGCACCGGAGGCACAAGGACCTGGCTCTGTGGGTTCACCCCTCAGGCACAGCAGGCTCGGCCCCATTCCTACCGAGGCAGCAGCCTGGAAGGAAAGGGGGGAGGCCCCTAGACTTCCCCATCGCACTCCTAAAAGCAGATCTGTCCCTCTTATTCCTTACAACTCGCCCCTCTGCTGTGTGTGCAGGTACAGGAGAGTTTACAAGGTACACCAGGACGTCTGCTACAAGGAGAGCTGTGAGAGTACCGGTTCCAAGAAGACAACCAGCAGGTACAGCTAGCAGCAGCCCGCCCAGCGTGCCGGCCTCCCTGCGGCCTGGGACAGGAGGACGCAGCTAGCCAGCGTCACCCAGCGTGTGCAGGGGTGCCCAGGCTGGGGGTGGACTGGGATAGGGATGCAGGCACCCCCACGCGGGGGGGCGCGTGAAGAGCACACGGCCAGCTCTCGGCTGCCAGCTCTGCGTGCCCTCCCTGCGAGTGCTGGCTGGGGGGGGGGCCGCAAGGCTGACGGCGCCCTCCTCCCTTCTCTTGCAGAAAACCAAGCACCAGTCACACACTGAAGAAGCCATAGAGTAAGTGTCGCCCCCAGGCCCTCCTCGGCTGGGGGCAGGGGCAGCTCCTGCCGGTGCCTGCCCGCACCCCTGCACAGGGAATTGGGGAGGAGAAGGGTGGGGGCCGGAGGGCAGCCCAGGCTCACGCTGCCGTGGCGGGGGGCTGCGAGGGCTGTGCGGCTGCCGTGCCGGCCAGGCTCGGGCGTGCAGCTGAGGGCTCCCGGTCGTGGCTGCGGTGCAGGAGCAGAAGGCAATGCTCTGCTTCCTCCTGGCTCCACAGCCAGACATTCCTGCAAAAAAAAAAAGGGCCTGGGCACTGCCTGCAGGTGGCAAGGCAAAGGCTGGAGCCCTGGAAGGGGTTGATCCCCTTCTCCTAGCCTAAGATAGGCCCGCGGGATGGGAAGAGGCAGCTGCAGGGCTTTTGGGGGACACACGCTCATTCTCTTCCTTCGCAGGGTTCAGAGCAGTAGAAGCTTCATCTTTCTGCATCTAAGGGCTTTGGAAACACCAGGAAGATCAGATCTGCTCACTGAGTTGAACGCAGCGGGGGAACCTTCCTGCCTGGCATCAGCCTCTCCCTCTCCTCCAGCCTGTTTACACACACGCAGCGGGATCGGCAGGCCGAGCAGTGCTCCCTCCCCTCCGCTGGACCAGCACTGCCTTCACTCTGCCTCGCCCTACTCCAGCCACCTTGCTGCCCCCCAGGAGCTGAGCACCCCTGTACTGCAGCAGCTGGCTGGATGCCCCCCCAGGGCCCAGCCCTAGCTCGGCCTGGCCAACCCCCCAGCCGCTCTGCAGGAGTGATGGGCTCCCAGCTCCCTGCCAGCAGCACTGCACCAACCTGGTTTCATAATCCAAGGATAAAAATTACCTATAAGCCCCAAATAAAACAGTTTAATGCAGACCAAAAAGCCTTAGCCATCACCTGAAATGTGGCCCACAGCAATCTGGTTGGAGGAGACCTCCCCCCTGTTAGACGAGTTAGAAATGGTGAGCAGCTCCCCCGAGCAGCGAGGCGCGCGCCGGCAGTGGACGTGCAGCCCCGTCTCCTCCGCTCTAGCGGGGGAAATTGAGGCAGCTTCTACTGCCTGCATTTTTTTTTTTTTTTTTTTCTTTGTAAACAATCCCTGGTTTTAACCAAATTTCCAGTCAGAAGGCAACACAGCACCTAGAAAGAACTTAAAAAGTGAGCTGTAGGGTGAAATTTGTCAGCTGAAGCGTAACGCCGCTCTTGTTCTGACACTAATTGCCTCCAAGGCAGCGCAGGGCTCCGTGACGGCGCACGCTCCGTGGGGGCTCCCCGGAGCTGCTCCCAGCGTTTGCAGTCCCCGTGGTGCGGGGCTGAGCCGCCAGCACTGTGGTGTTTGCAGAGGAGAGGACCAGCAGCAGCGGCTGCCCAACCGCCTGCGGCAGGGCAGGCGAGGAAAAAGTGTAGTTTTAGAAATGTTCCTAGTTTGTGTGAGTTTGTATGACAACACTAGTTAAACATAGATTTGTGTATTAACATACACAGTGTATATTATAAATTAATACATACCAGAGATATATTGTAGTTACGGCATAGACCCCAGCAGTGGTGGGGGCATCCTGGCAGGGCCACCCTCCCCTCCCACGAGCATGGCAGGGTGCTTTGTTCAGCCACCCGTGTCAAGCTGCAGCCCCAAAAATGCTCTTGGAGCAGAAGAAGACCCAAGAGTTTCAGTGTTCCTGGCACCACCCTCTCCTGCCCGCTGGGGCAGCTGGCAGCAGCCTGGGAGCGGTCAGGGTTGATGTAAAGCCGGGACCAGCAAGCCCGTGTGATGCTCCCCTCCAGCACAGGCTCTAGCTCTGCTCCCAGAAGAGAAACCGAGTCAGAGATGGACCGAGGCAGCCCGATCCTGCTCCAGCCCCCCCCCTGCCCCAAGGCGAGCTGAGAAGTCCCGACTCTCTGCGGCAGGAGAAGCCAGCCTTTGCCTGGAAGAGCAGGACCAGGGCAAAGCCAGAACACCCTCTGCTCAGCACGAGGGAGGGCAGATTTTGGGGCCACGCTCGGAGAGCGTTCGCACCCCTGCCTGGTCAGCCACAGGACCAGCACGGAGTGGGGCTGCGGGGGTGGAGGCGGCCCTGCCGTGTGCCAGTCCCGTTTCAGCGCAGCCCTCGGGGCTCTTGCCCCCGCGCCCTGCTGGGAGCTGGCACAGCAGCCCCCTTCCTCCTGCCCCCCAGCCAGCACAGTATGTAACGCAGCCAGAAGGTTTTAACCTAGCCTTGGAAATAAATTAGCTATTGTGGTTTGATTTTTTTTTTTTTTTTTTAAATAAAAACACTTTATGGAAACGGTATTTTTTTTTTTTTTTTCTGAAGTAGTTGCTCAAGGAGGGGGGGAGGAACAAGAGGGACTGTTGTATTCTGGTAGATGGGTTTTATTGCTGCCCCTCAGCGGGGGCTCCGCACACTGGCCCCCATGGCCAGCAAGCCAGCAGATCCTGCAGCCACCACAGCTCCTGCCCGGGTGGGGTGAGGGCCCAGGGCACCCGTGAGGGCAACGGGGCCGGGGAGGGCAGCAGCATGGGAGAGCTCAGGTACCCTGGAGCCTCACCTCCTCACTTCTGGGCTGTTTCACCTCTCTCAGTGCCCAAGTCTTCATCTTCCTCCAGGTATAGCGCATCCCCGTCTTCCTCCTCATCCTCCTCCTCTTTGTCATCCTCCTCCTCTTCCTCCTCCTCTCGGGCTAGCAGCTTCTTGAAGACCTCATACTCCTCTGGGGTGGAGTGGGCCAGGCTGGCCAGGAAGTCTTTCTCCGGGAGCTGAAGGATGTCCTTCAGTTTCGGGTTACTGGTCGTGGTCTGGCCTTTGCAGGGGGTCTGGTAGAACCCCCGGCGCTCCAGGAAGATGTGCCGGGTCCTGAGCTCAGCGAAGGGCATTTGGAACAGCCGGGCCTTCACCATCTCCTTCTGCTGGACCCCCATCCTGAAGTACGCGTACTGCGGGTGGGACAGCGTCTCACGGGGAGCCCCGGCCCCGCAGCGGGTTTCCGCCACGCAGGAGCCGCTCCCCCGTGGGCGGGCAGCCCGGGCCCCTCACCTGGAAGTGGTGGTGGAGGCAGCGCGGCTCCTCCAGCAGCACGGCGGGGCTGGTCGCCAGCACCTCCTTCAGCTGCTCCGCCGTGAAGAGGCACCGCTCCCGCAGCAGCCGCACCGCCGCCGCCAGCCTCCTCCGGGGCAAGGTGAAGAGCTGGGGGCAGCGGCTCACGGCCCGCTGCAGCCGACCTGCGGGCCCCGGGTGAGCGAGCTGGGGGGGGGGGGCCCCCCCGGCCCCGGCCCCGGCCCCGGCCCCGGCCCCGGCCCCGGCCTCGGCCCCGGCCCCGGCCCCGGCCCCGGCCCCGGCCCCGGCCCATCCGCCGCGCCGCGCTGCCTTACCTCCGCCGAGCCCCAGGCGCCGCAGCTCCCCGGCGCGCTCCTCCAGCCGCTCCGCCGGCAGCCGCAGCAGCCCCGGGCTCCGCTCCAGCAGCCCGAGGGCGGCCTCGGCGCTCAGCCCCAGCAGCAGCAGCTGCGCCGCCGCCGCTTCCCGGCGCCGCGGGTCGAGCCGGGGCCGGAGCCCCAGGAGCCGCCGGGCCTGCTCCTCGCTGAAGCCCATGGCCCGCAGCCCCGCCGCCTCCCCGCAGCCGCGGCGGGGGCCCAGCCCGAGCGCGGCGGGGAGGCGGCGGGGAGCCGGGGCCCGGCCCGCCGCGGCCGCCCGCCCGCAGCCGCGCAGCAGTCGCGCCGCCATGGCCCGGCCCGGCGCGGGGAGGAGCCGGAGGGGGCCCCGCCGCCGCTCCGCCCTCGCCGCCGGGGCCCGGGGCGGGAACGGCGGCCGCGGCACGGGAGGAGCGCGCGTGTGGGGGCCAGGCCCGACCCGCGGCCCCGCCGCCTCCCGCGCACCGGGAGCGGGGTCGCCCTCAGCAGCGCAGCTCCTGAACCCCCAGGGCGAGCGCGGGCGGAGCGGCCGCGGCGGCCCAGCCCGCGGAACCCGTCACGGAACGAGCAGCAGCCGCTCGGCCCCGCCGGAGCTCGGCCCCGCCCGGGCCGGGGGGCTGCCGCGGATCCCTGCCCCAGCCCGGGGCCGGGAGGCAGCTCCCCCCCCGCAGCCGCGGTTCAGCTCCAGCGTAAATTGAACCGCGAAGTCCAGCAGTTCGGCGTTCACAGGGAGATAACGGAGGTGAAAGCTGGGTTGAGAGAGATAATCTCTAATATTCGAGGTGGCTTTAAGGCACTCGATTATCCAATATAGCCCTGCTGCTTCTCCCCTGAGCTTCTGGCAGCAGCAGGCGTGAGAGCTACTCCCTTTCCCACCCCTCATTTCCACAAAGCTTCGAGCTGAGCTGCATCCTGAAATGGTATTATTACCCAGCTCTCAGTATTTTGAAGTGGTCAAAATTACCGAATCGAGCGTTTCTTTCCAGTATCTTTGTCTCGCCCAAATCAAAGACTACTTTCTTGGATACAGCGAGGACTCTTGACCACCCCCACCCCACCCCCCCCATCATGCAAGTCTGTGTCTGCTTTTGAGACTTCCTTGTGCACACAAACTCCAACAGGCAGAGGGCACTCAACCAAGGCAAAGATGTTTATTCATTCACTTTTCAGAAAGAGTGAAACATACAAAAAGTAAAAACAGCCAAGAAAAATATATTCCGAGTTACGAACAATTTAAAGACGACGTTAAAATCTTCACCTCGCCGCTTTAAAACAGATCCTGTATAAGAACAATCACACGTGCTTAGTAGCAAGAAGCTCTTCTAGAAGAATCGTGCCCAGGCGGAGCAGCTCAGGGCCGCCCTGCCTACTGCTCCGCGCTCCTTTTTCTACAAGGCAGGCGCAGCAATCTTTCTACAAGAGAGGAGCACTCAGGATTAATTCCTGCTGCTTCTCCAGTGACGGTGTGCGTCCTGCGGCCAGGGAGCTGTTGTTCCACGGGGTGGGCTCTGCACCCTCGTGCTCGGTGCTCACTCTCCACGTGAGGAGCTGGGAGCCTGTCTCCACGCGGGCTCTCACCAGAACCGTTTCCAAATCTGCTTTCTAGGGAAGAGATAAACAGTGAGGGGTGAGCCATAGGTCCCTCCAAGCCAACTGGCAGACCTGCACACTGAGCACATTTGGGAATGAGCAGGCAACCTCCTGATCAGGAGTCTCCTGCTAACCACAGCTCAGTCTCCTCTGAGACATCACTGCTGTGTGCCTGGGGTGTCCTGGGCAGAGGAGAAGGCCTTCAGAACAAGCCTCACCTGCCTCAGCAGAGTGGTATACCTCTTCCCAGGTATAGTCACCCAGGTTCACAGGCTGCTTCAGCCAGCGATCCTCTGCTAACATTGCTAGAGTCGTGCGCTGCTCTGGAACAGGATGCAAAAGCCCAGAGATTAAATCCATGAGGCCTGGGGAGAGACGGCAGTAAGAGGAGAGGCTCAGGCTGTGTTGGGAATACAAGATGTGGTTTATATTCAAAGAGCGCAGATTTTAATCATAAATCCTCCCCATTAATCCCTGGTGCAGTGCTGTTCTAGCAGTCTTAGTCACATGCGCTCAGCTCTGGGAATGAGCTGAGATTTCCAGGCTGTGAAAACAGAGAACTACGTGTGGAGTTACGACACGGAGGAGGACAGAAGTAGGAACAAATGCTGCAGAGGCAACCCTGGCTCACTGTTTCTAAGCCCGGTCCTGTCCTGCAGTCATCCCATGTTTGATTAAAGGTGCACAACCAGGGTTCAGGGAAAGCTTCCAGAACTGACCAGTCAGTTGCAGCACCCTGAACCACAGAGCTCCTAAGGACCCCAGGGAACTTGCTGATGAAGACTTCTTTAGCCTAACCCAGTCTAGCGATTTGCTAGACCTCCAGCAGGAAACAAGCCCAATGTATTTTTCCTGTGAGGCCAAGCCATAAAATCCACTCAGAAATTACAAATTAACACATTATCATCCATCCCAGAAGTGACATGGCATTGACTGGCAATAGTTCAAGCAAGAGAAAACTTGCATTAGAGTTACATGAGAGCCATTATTGATCTTAAAGTTATCTCCTAGAGCGAACCTTCCCATCAGGCATTAGTTGTTCTGATTTTCTCAGGTATAAACCCCACTGGAGCTTGTGATAGGTTGAGTCGTAATAAACGAGAGGGCTGGAATTTGAAACTAATAAAACATATGGCAGATAGCTGTATTCATTGTACGCATGAAGAACTGCAGAACTTACCTGAAAAAGGATACCTCGGATAACTGCTTCAGTGAGCAGCTTTTAAAACCATTGACAAGCACATTTAGAAGCATTTTTCCAGTCTTTCCCTTTATTTTTGGGGAATAGATACTGTTCATACTTTCCCAAGAGATCTTTAGATCCTTTAGAAAAGCAAATGGGAAAAATTCACCTTTTGACACAGGCCGAGGAGGATTCAGGACAGCTGTCATGGCCTCCTCCAGCTCACAGAAGGGATTCTCACCCAATACTAGGGTATAAAGGGTGACACCAAGTGACCACATCTCCAGCTCAGGGCCATGGTACCTGTGAAGAGATAAACTTGCTTAAACTTGGACTGCAAATACATACTTGTGTGCTGAAGAAGCTAAAAATAAAAAAAGGCAGTTGATAGCCCTTATTTCCATTTTTTATTTTAACATAGAAAATTTGTGAGGATTCTAATAAGATTCTCACGTGTTTTTGAGAAGTCTGTTTTATCCTTCTCCACGAAATAAAAACAACAAAAGAACAGCCAATCAGTTTCAGCTGATGAGTATGCACCTAGACTCCACATGCATAAGCCGGTGACGAGAATTAGGCCTCCTCCTCCTCCACTGTGAGCCAAAACTAACCAGTAAATATTTAAATGGAAAATTAGACATTTCAGTGGAATCCCCCCTCCCCCCTCCAATCCCTTTCAAAAGAACAGTTATTTGGAAATCGATATTAACTCTCTAGATTCCATCTGAGAAAAAGGGACAGTTTCTTCACACAGTGAGAGGCTGAATTCCCAGGGCAGCACCGTTTCACCTCCCGGCTTGCTCCCAGCAGGGATTTCCTCTCCTCCTTGCCTAGCTTTTTCCCTGCTACCTGGTTAAGAGGAGCTGCCTGAAGGACCCATGAAAACAGCTGTGAAATGAGAGCAAGATAACACACTTGTACGTACAACTAATGTTTACCACCCTGTGATGGTAAGGCTTCCCTCCAGGAGCGGGTATGAGACTGCCAGCCTCCAGGTAAATAGCACTCAGAGAAGGAGAGAATAGGAAAGAGACAGCTAAGATTTGGGCAGCACATCCAAGAGAGCAGCAAGACAAGTTGCAAGGGAAGAATCCTTGAGCCCAGAGGAACACAAAAAAAAAAAAAAAAAAAAAAAAAATATTTAAACGGGGAGATGAACAGTGATCAAACAGCAAAAATTCATCCAGGGAAGCAAGTAGGAAAGAAGGAAACAGATGAGAGTGGGGAACTACAAAACCCAGATGTGGTAAGGAGGAGATGCTATACAGCAGTACTTGCTAATACCACCCCTCTAAAAGAGCAGCTTGTGTGTTCATACGCAGGTATGAAGAGAAGGTCAGCAAGCTGATGAAAAAGGACACATTCAAGTCACAACACAACTCATCCAGACTCTTCTACCAGGCTGGAAATTAAAATCATGGGCTTGTTCTCGAACTCAGCTCTGCAGTCGGACAGACATTAATACAAGGCTTTGCAAAACATCTGACCAGAATAAGAAAGCCTGCCAGCAGACTTAGTCAGAAACAACTTTGTATGTATTCAAGCCTTTACAAATAATTTCTGTCACCGCAGTGCCCTACTTCATATGCATTCAAACCCCTGCAAGTAATTTCTGTCACTGCAGTGCCCTAAATCTCCCTGCTGTTTTCTGTGGTTAGATACTTTAGCAGAGTACCAACGGCAAAGCAGCTTGGCTTCTCTAGGCCAGCCCTGCACACACATTTTTTTTGGTGCGATGGACACAAAAATTACTTTTCAGAGGGTGACATACGGTTTGCCATACAGCACTTCTGGTGAGCAGTATTCAATTGTTCCACAGAAGGTATAAAACAATTTGCCAGGTTCCAGGTAGGCAGCTGAACCAAAGTCCACTAATTTAATTGTGAAATCTTCAGCAATGACAATGTTCTCATCCTTGATATCTCTGTGAAGAATGTTTCTGCAGTGGAGATACCTGACAGCTGATACAAGCTGAAAGAGGAAAAGAGCTAGGTGTTACTACACAGAGGTGTCCTTCTGGATAATCTACACGGCAAGAGAAGAGTTCCAATAGCCACATTCTGGCTTGTTTTGACGCTATATAAACAAGATACAGATTCTAATTTTGGTAACTGGAAATGAACTCAGGCATGCCTGTCAGCATTGCTGCAGTGGGTGTTACAATGCTCTTGGGAGAGCAATTTAAAAAAAGCCTTTGCTTGCTTTCCTCTCACAAATGTGCAGGAAGATGGCATGCTATAGTCACGATGTGCTCGGGTTTTTTTGGTTAGAAGCATCAGAGCTCACTGTCACAATCCTGCAGGTTACTCTATTTTTATCCTAGTTTCGTTTGGAGGGTCCTTTGATTTCTGCAGAAGGATATTACTGTGTGCCTCTGATACTGCAGGATGACAAAGCATTTAAGAGTGAAGTTTGGTATAAATAATGTAGTCACTCCTAAATTCCATTCTTCTTCCTGCACGATTCATGCTATAGTACCATAATTAAGAACAGCATCAGAATTATATCACCCTGGAGACAATCGTGATCCCTACCACAATACATTTGAGCAAGAAAAGTAGGTGGCTGAGAGAGAAAAGTATCTATTTAATACAAAGCTCCCTCTGCAGAGAAATACTGTACAGGTCTGAAGTAACAAAGCACCCCTAGAAACTCGAGGTCGCCTTAGGAAAAGGGTGTGTCCGTCAGAAGTCCAAAGGGACCATAACCCACAATTTGTGAATGCACACTGCATAGCAGACACAGAGGAGGTGCATCACTTTGGCTGCCAGCTTCCATCAGCGCCCCACGCGAGGGGAGTGTGGCCACAAGTGGTGGGTTACCACGTGTCAAATCGTTCTTGCATACCTCAGAGCAAGGAATTTACCCCAAAACACGAGAGGGAATTACCTGGGGACTGCTGTTGTGCTTAACTCAGTGAATAAAGGGCAATTCAGCTCTCAGGCAACCTCCTGACTCACAGTAAACTACCTTGCGTTATCTTGCATTATGCCACGCTAAAATCCAAGATAATTTATTGATTTTAAAATCCTTAAAAAGAGGAGAGCCCTTTATCTCCATAACCAGTCTAAACCAAGCATTGGTCTAAGAGAAAGTGTGGCTTTTAGTGAAGCTGGAGGCAACTTTCATTTGCTTTCCTGCTCCCACAGAGGAAATGTAACTGCTATGTGATCCGCATCCTGGCAACAGGGGGGGTGTGCTGCTACAATCACAGCCAAGAGGCAATGGCTCTGTAGCAAATCCTCCTTTGAGGAAAGGTCCTTTAAAGGTTTCTTTGTTACAAGTTTCTAAGTAAACCTCTGAAAGGTTTCTGCAGGTAGCAGTTCAGTTAGCTAGAGATCAGCCCTACAAATCAATGAGGAGAAGTTCTGCAGGTATTGAGCGTGACTCAGGTTCGGCGTGCCTGCCGATGAGCCAGTAATTCTTTTGAGTGAAATAGGGTTCTGGTTCTTGTATTAACCAAATCTTACCCGCATGTACCAACTCTACGTTCCCATCTCTCACCTGTCTGAATATATAGCTTGCTAATGGCTCATCCAAGTTGGGCTGATTATCGATAAATGTAAAGAGATCCAGACCAGATCCATGCTTCTCCATCACCAGCTGGAAGAAGTGTTCATTTTCAAATACATCCAGCACCTATAAATAACAAACTTTTTAATCACGTGTTTTATCCTCAAACTGCCTTTTTTTTTTTTTTTTTTGAAACAAATACTGCTCTCCTCTTAGAGATTTAATGTATTATCATCTTCGAAGTCTCATTTCACTGAGCACAAATGCACAAATGTTTCTTGAAAAGAGAGCATAATTAAAACAGGGCAGAATTAAAAACAAGAGGAATTCTCTTTCTGGGGGAAAAGAAGATCCCAACAAAACCAACAACTCCAAAACAAAGAACAGGAATCAATATACATATCCAGATTATTCACTGAATTAGTACATGTTCAGGGGTGACATCACACTTCCAAGATATGCATCCTATCATCTTGAAACAATGTACACTTTTCTGCTAAGAGTCACACCTGCAGATCTATGTTTAAATCAATTGTTTGGGGTAAAAGTGTGGAAGCAAGAGATAGTCTGCTGTAGCATACACTCCAAAACAATGCAGGAAAGATAGGTTCCTTTATTTCCCGAAAAAGTAGATTTAATACGTGACACTTCCTCCCTCCTGAAGAGGAGCATGAGACACCAAGTATACAAAGGAACCATCTGATGCAGTTCAAACTGCACTCACCCAGTGTTCACTGTACCTTAATGATACCGGGGTGCTGCAGCTTCAACAGGATTGCAATTTCTTGAGTAACTCTCCCCAGATCAGGATCATCTACCCAGCAGTCCTCAAGCACCCTCTCCTTCCAGATGAACTTTACGACAACCTACACAGACAACAGCATTCAGCATCACCTGCAAAAGTATGGCTTTAAGTGTTTAGTAAGTTAATTTCCAGGAAAAATGCTAGTGAATTGTATCACTAGAAGGACATAAGTAACCCAATGTACATTGCTGACAGTATCTTTAAACATATTTAACTAATTTCATCCTACAAGCCAAATGATGCACAGAAATTGAATGTATTTATTTTGTTTCTGCTGATGCTCTGAATTACAAAGGCTTTGACAGGGCAGCTCTGTTATCAACCCGGTTACAGCACTGGTGCCTTCTGGCATAGGAGTGCACTGGAGGGAAATAAGCATGTAACATCCGTGCAGAGAAACACCAGAGCTTGCCTTTCAACACCCAAAATACTTCTGCTGATAAAGAGGAGGGTCCCATAACCACAATGTGTCTACTCCACATTCTTGAGTCACTGCACATTAAAGACTTTGAAGTTTGCCATTCTCTTTAGTAACAGAAGACTAAAGCCTGCAATTTTGTTAAGCTTAATGTCAAAAATTAGCTACATGGTCAGTCTCATTCTGTGCCTGTTGTCTTAGGTGACATTCATATACTACATCAATGTGAACATTTTGCTGTCCTGTTTCCATAAGGTTAGTGATTTCAGATTTCTGTTTAAACAAAGGAAAACTCCAAACTACCAAATAGCAGCTTTTAATAATGTAGTGTTGACAGAATATGAACACTTTAACCTTTCAGTTTTCATCCTAAATAATCATTGCAATGAGATCCAAAAGAAATATTTAACCTCCTGGTGATCTTTCTTGCCCCTGGCAGTCCAGACAAAGCCAAAAGATCCTTTCCCAATAAGACTGAGAGTGTTGTAATTTTTTGCATACTCTCCCTCACATGCCCTTAATCTTTCAAGCTCTTCAACTCTTCGGGAATTCTCAGAAAGTGAGATTGATCTGATGGCCTACAGATAAAAAAAATAGCAAGAAAAAAAATGAGCAAGCCACAGAGCCGTATTTGTGAAATGAAGTAAATACTGAAAAGAACGGACACATCTGCAATAATAGCTAAAAGGAATGATCTTTGGTTTTGATAGCAAAAACTGTATGTTGATGTAACCGTCGCCATACCAGACAAATTAAGTGAACAAGTCATCTCTCGGCAGCTACAAATACTGCTTAATTCAGAGAAAGGTAAAGAAAACAGAAACATAGGCACAAAATTCTCTGTGCAAGTAGGAAAATGAATACATTGTGGTCTATCACCAAACTATAATTTTCTTTGATGAATAAAAAGTAGATGGCTTTCAACGTTGTATTTTTTGCAGGTAAGTGTATTCTAGATGGACAGAACTAAAAAGGTGCTGCTTTAAGACCTGTCTATAAATTTGGCAATTTCTCTTTGCCTCAATAAACTAAAAAGAGTTAGCATATAAAAGATATTAAATTACCAGTGTTTACCAAACTTTCTGGTAAGATGGCATTTTAGTTCTGCAGATTGGTCTCTTAGCAGACACAAAGAGCAAACAGGTGTTCAAGGCATACCCTCCTAAATTAACACCCCCATAAAATCCCTAGTAAAGAAACATCTCATGCCTTCCTACTAAGGCCTGCAACACTGCATGAGAAACTACAACAGAAGCTTTTCTTGCTCTGAGGATAGGGCTTGGGGTTGTCTCAGCAATTATTAGGGTTCTCCACCAAAGATGGCATCTAAGATGCCTAATAACAGAACATCTTTATGACACACACAGTATTCCATACTGAGAGGAAACACAACAAATCTGACAGGGGCATTTGTTTTGAATAGTGAAATTTGGAGTTATACATTGAATGATCAGAGCGGCTTATATTTAGACACCCATGTACGTACATGGAAGATGATTTTTTAAAAGGAAAACAGGAGCCACGTTATTACCCAGCTCTCAAAGGTCTCATGAAAAATATTCCAAATAGCAAGTTTTGCCAATCACTTTGCTTTTCACTCAAATCTACTTCATCTTCCAGCTCACAGATTAAAGGTGAGGCAAGGGAGGAAAACTACATGTCTAATCTGCAGTACATTTCAATAAACAGTCTCTCCTCAGCCTCCTGTAGTCTGGAACTGTCACCACTATGCAGGTTACACATGTGAGTGATATCTAAAGATGTATGTACTCTCTGCTAAGGTCATCATAAAATCCAGCTACCTATTTCAATTGATCCAAGACACTATTTTCCTCTACAGCCTTGGACAAAGTACGGTCAGCTTCACATCCCACTCCTAACTAAAAACCAGGCCTGTGCAGTTCTGTGTTGGGCTTTTATGGCACTGAGATGTACCTACTGCTATGTGCTGTTAGCTTTCTGTACACCATCCCCCATGCAGCATCTGAGGAGGCAGCTAAAAACTGCAGTTTTCTTTTGCTGACACAGTCATTCAATGAAAGATTTCAGCCTAGTATTTCCTTTTTTAACAATGTTGTGTCATTGGTGCCAGTGTGATTACACTGATTTAAAAATTCATCTCGCCAAACTGGTGCAAGCCTCTATTGTAACTAAACCAGCCTAAGAACAGATTTAAAATTTGGTGCTTGCATTAGTTCAGACTGTAAAGGTAACTACACTAAGCCAAACACACACCACCAGAAATATTACAAAATAGCAGTTTGTCCTTTTTACAGCAAATAAACATTTCTTCTGACAGAAAAACAGGGAAACAAAGAAACAGCAATATCCACCTCCCACCTCGTGACATAATTTGAATTTGAAAAACTTCTCTACTTCAGCTTCAGCTTAAGTCAAATAAGGAGAGAAATGCTCAATATTATACAATGATAGAATGTCTTACTTCTCCAAGACTATGTGTAGAAAGATCTGCAGTAGACTGGGCAGAGCTTGCTAGACTGGAGAGCAAAAGCTGAGTCTTTGCGACAGCTTCCTTCTGGCTCTGTAGAAGGTCTTTCACCACCCAGACACAGAAAAGTATGGCAGGGTCCTGCAGTTCTACACGTTTCACTTCAAAGACTATACCTGTAAAAACAGGTGAGGAAGTTAAGATGGTACGATGAAACTTTACTGTTGAATGAGATCACAGACATTTTAGGACAAAATTCTGAGCTCTTAAAGTGAATTCCTCCACTGTTTGCTTGGGGAACACCTACTCAGTAAGGAATCATAAGAGGGGCTGACAAAAGCACAGCTATTCTAGAAATACTTGGCAGCTACTTCCATAGTTCCCACCACCTGGCAGAAACTTTTGTCCGATTGTGATTATTAATTTCACATTGTTATTCTAAACGACATAAAAATGGGGATTTTATACAAGCCACAGATTCCAGCTTAAGGAGTGAACAAAACACATTCCATTACACAATTTAAATACAAGTTTTACAATGGAGTTTATATTTTCTCAGGTTCAAATCCTTCCTTGTGTTTTAAGAATATTTCTGATTATTCAGTCTGGATTAATTTCTTAGTAACTTCGTATTTTATACTACCTGCTTTTCCAATACCCTCTGAGTAGACTTAAATACCATTTTTTCTAGATGCTAGAGCTTCTTCCTTCTCCACTGTGAATTACCTGCCTTATGCAGAAATATGGGTGAAAAAGAGCATCCCAATAAGTTTTGGGAAGGGTACAAATAGTTTTAACTTACTTAATTGTGAACCATCTCTGTGACAGCAACTCCCAGTGTAGCTGCCTTCCAGAATCTCCAGGGTGAAAGGTGCTGCTGGATTCAGCCTTCCTTCTTGTTTCACTGGGGTCGATGTTACTTTTATCTCTATATTTTGCTGTCCATGCAACTGACAGTCTTCTTCAGGACTACCTTTGCTTTTCAGTGGGTTTCTGTTGATGTCGTCCCCCCCCACAGTCTCTGCAAGAGTTTTAGGCTTTTCAAGAAATGCTTTGGAAGATTCTTCAGAGTTTTCTAAATGCCTTTGGGAGGCCAGCCACCCAGAACCACCTTCTATGGCAACACCATTCAACAGCTGCTTTTCTTGCCCAGTTGAAAAGGCACTGTTTTTCTGAGTTAGCATACTGCCTACAGCCAAGTCCACTGCATTAGAGGAGGATGCTGCTACAAGAGCTGTAGTAACACCTAAACAATTGTCCAGGTTCCCCTTGATGCCAATATTCAGGCCAAGTACCTCAAGTCCAGAGCAAACACAGTTCAGCTCAGCGTCTGATTCTTTAACATCTTTAGAGGTTGTGGCAACTCCTGGTGCAGAAGCACTGCAACTCATTTTATTTCCCGAACAAACATCATGGATAGGATTTCTCCCATTTGCAAAGGATGAAGCATCATTCAGCAGGCAGTTTGCAACAACAGTGTGCTCAAGGCTGGAATGTTTTGCATCATGCATCAAGTTTGGTTTTGACAACTTCCCTGTAACCATGTGCCTTTGAAAGTCTTGTCTGCAGTCTGGTGTTGTCCCAGACCATGGCTCATCTATTGTTGGTGTTCCAGGTGAGTTACAAGTATCATTAGAAGGTGGCTTAACTGAGCCAGAGGATTCGCTATCTAGATTGTCTTCTAGCCTTGAACAAACACATGACCAGGCAACATTTACTGAAGACATTTGTCCCCGGACATCAGTGGAGTGCTGATGCTTCAGCTTTTCATATGGCAACCTACAGATCTGCTGACAATTTACTTCCTCGAGGTCTTGATGATGAACTTGTAATTGGTTAGGCAAGATACCAGTCTCACTGGCATTTTGAGTCTCAGATGTACCAGATACTGCACTATCACAGCTTCTTACTGGAATCCTCATGTTCTGACCTAAATCCAACTGTTCCAAATGAGCTGACGTGGGAGAGAGCCTTGCAGAGAGCATCTTCTGAGAATTATTTGATCTTGCAGTTTCCACTGTTCTACACCGTTCCACTGCTTTGATTCTGTCAAGCCAGGTTTCAGGGTAGGGTGCTCTATGGCGGGCTGACAGCCCATCGGTAGCAGTGCTGTCTTCACTGCAAGGATTCAAAGTTATTAGCGATGTCATGATGACAAAAAAAGTGAAAAATCCACCATACTATACACTTACCCACTCTTCTGTTACTATGGTCACTACTTAAAACCTGCATCTATTATTTTATTTGTAAGTTTAAAAGAAAAAGGCAGAAAGCTGTTGGCACAGGCATCCAAAACCCTAACAAATTCCATCTTGACCAAATAAGAGCAGGTACACTTGAATGGCACCCTTTCCCTATGGATTGCTTCTCTAGCTTACTTTCTAAATATATACCATAGGTCATTTACTGCAACAGAAGGCCAATACATGTGGCAGGATACTTCCAGTCCTGGGAACAGCCCTTGTCTGTCCAAGAGAAGATGAATGTCCCCATCCATCAATTTAACCATGGTTCGCTGAAGTCCATAGCACAAGGTATTTTACAAACATTTCTATCAGTAAAAATGCAGAGTAGAAAAACAATCCGTGCAGCAGAGCACTTACAGTCCAAGTATGATGAGAGACATAAATCCAGGAGAAATCCAGGAGAGCACAGGGAAACAATGAGACTATCAGTCTCTAAAAAGAACTGTGCTGTAATAGTCTATGTATTAAAAAGGGCAGTAAATATTTTCTGAAGGTTAGAATTCTTAACGTGTAAGGCTTAAAACTTGAAGATTAAACCATGTGCTTCATATAGGTATGCAGAACATCTAACCTTGTAGCAGGAAAAAGACCTCGAAAGCTACAATAAAAATGGCTGGATTCTAGTAACATAGTACCCTGTTTTAAGGGGTGACCTGACAGTTACAGAAGGAATAACATTTAGAATTAATTTCAGGTAACTTGGCCTCACTGCAACTCCAGCTGGTGGATACCACAGGAGGAGGTAAACATCCACTGTTTCTGATTTAGCAAAGATAGAGCCTAACTACCTTCCCTAGCCTGGGTGAAGCATTTGGTCCCCTTTAGAGATGGAACTGATGTTGCTTTACAGTTGTAGGTTGTACAGATCTAAACAAAAATCTAAGCAGGCAGAACTCAACCTGTCTTGCAAATAGCGCTCGGATTCTACAGAGAGCAAAGTGCAGAAGGCTGTTATTACACCTTCCCACAGACATCACAGAGGTGAAAAAACAGTTTTTGCTGTAATTGCCACCACGGCCTTCATTTTTCAAAGTGAATATGCAGTCCATGAAATGCCTACCTATTAGAGGGTGTGGATGCCACTTTAGGTGAGGGAGTAGAAAAGAAACTGATCCCATTCTTTTGTTTAGTCTCATCATGTACTAATTTGTCATCTTTGTGTCTTGGTTCCATTTTCTGCTCTTCATCTCTTGACAGAAAGCTTGTTAAAGATGCAGCCAAGAAGCTGCTGTCTGTACCAAACAAGAAACAAAACCATACCAACTTAACCTTTTATGTTTAGACTTCAGAGACTGCAGTGATTAAAAACAATCTTGGAATTGCCTTGGTCTGTCTCATCCCTAAGGAACTGAGTATAAAAGACTTGATTAAGGCAAAGTGGTCCAAATATGACCACTCCACTCTACTTTCGCCTGAGAAATTATCACATGCAGGACTGCTAAAATTTGCTTTCCTATCAAAGCTGTTGGACAGGTATTAGCCTCCCAGGTTAGCTACTTGGATTGAAGTTAAGAGAGCTAAAAAATGCCCAATGACCAGAGACTGAAATTGAAGTGATCATACAAATAGCACCAGCAAAAAAAAAAGCCCAGAACACACATACACTGCCCATTCCAAATACTTAAAATGAAAAGGTTTGGATTGCATTTATATAATTCACTGAAATTGCAAGACAGAGAAGTATACAGTCTCAACATGTTTAAGAGAAAGAATAAGACAAGAACTTATTTCCTTCCCCAGTGACAGCAGATCAAGAGAAAAGAATGAGTTTGCAAGACGAAGTAAAACAAGTATTGTTGTTGGAGAAGGTAACGAGTGAACAGATCTAGATTTGAATCTAAAACAATCCTTCTGCTCAGTAAAGACTGAGTACCAACCATGCTTCCTCGCTAAAGAACTGAATTACTCCTAGATTAGAGGCATCACTTCACCAAAGAATTACCTAAGAAATTGCACACTGTCTGCTCTTTGTTCCAGTAGAGTGCATTGGTTTCAGTGGAGATGTGCATTTCTAAGCAAAGACAAGAGAAAAAGAAAACAGGAAAAAAAAAAACTAAACCAAAACAAAAACCAAATGAAGGAAACAAAGCCAGCATAAAAGATCTCTTGTGATATGGATGAAGGTATGCACTTGCTTGTGTTCTGTGTTTTGGGCAGAGCGAGCTGGAAAGACATATTTGGAGACATGAAGCTTTCTTGCTTCTGTTTATTTCTGTTGTGTTCAGAGAAATAAAATGTTGATAAATTTTTTGTAAATGCAGTGAACTGCATCAGAATATGTGATGCCTCCTAACTGAAACAACACAGGAACATAACATTGAATATTAGTCAGTAATATGAGCCAATTCAGAAGAACATTCGAATTTTCCCTTAAAATATTAGTCCTAAGTATCTATAGCTCTGCTGTAATACTGTCACGAAAGCTATATTTACATGTCTTAAAATACTCAGAGATCCTAACAGGTGAGGGAGGGAAAGGGAAGTGCTTATTAAGTACAAAGCATTCTCTATTCACAGTGTAATTTCCAATTTGTCTATTCAGTTTTATCTTCTTAGCAACAGAGACATGCACAGCCTTAGTGGAAATCCAATTTAAAAACTGCACAGGGGTACACTGCTTTGTAAAAGCATGTTCCTATGTTCATAGGCAAATCTGTCATTTCTATTCATTTTACCTTTGTTCCAGCAGCCAGAGCTAGTTGTATGGCAGGCAATAACATCTTCAAAGATGCACTCACTCTCTGTCCCTGTGGAGTCGTCAAGAGGGGGTAATGGCAAAGAACAGTCACTGCTTCTCTCCACGTTGTTATAGAAACCAGGGATCAGGAATGTAATGTTCTAAAACACAGAACAAAACCTTATAAAGCTAAACTGGCTCTCACAGGCTGGGGGCAAATGCTAAACAATCCATGTTTGTGGACCTGATTCTGATGAATAGCCAAGCAAAAGTGATCCACGTGACTGATGGAGAACATATACTTGAAGTCCATCCTAGCTCCTGAACACTTCAAGACTTGGCAATTACAGCAAGGGAATTTGTGTATCATACCACAACTCACTCTCAGAACACATGGAACACTGAGGTTTTGCAACAGACAGAAATGAGTGTTCAGTATGACAATTCCAATGGATATGCTGCCAGACATAGCAGTCTTTTAGAAGGGATTAAGACTCCTACCTTACCTTTCCCAACAGTTCTTTCTTCTCATAGCCAAAGAGCATTAAAGCAAAACTATCCTTGATGCCACAGATGGTCCCATCTGACTGGACAGTAATAAGACCACTGATGGTGGAGAAAACCACAACTGTAGCAGAGTAATGACAGCCTGTGAAAGAGCCTTCTTTTTCTGTCTCCACAACACCATCTTTCTGCACTGCTGCTTGCTCATCCTCCTCCGGAAGGCTTACTTGTAGCTTTAAACTGAGAGGAAACTTGTTACCTTCTCTGGACTGGCCTACAGCTTGCTGGATCCTGAGGTTCTAAATTAAAGAAAAAAACAAACAAACAAAAAAACCTCTGACCAACCAAAAGTTTTGGTTTTATTTCACTATTCATATAAAATTACACAGGAAATGTTCTCAGGAAAACGGATCAGGAAAAGAAAAATGAACCAATTCTGCAAATAACAAAATGAATAAAGTCTGATTTTCTGAGGATTTGGAATCTAGCGTTGAACTCCTATATGAATATCCTGATGAAGACCAGAAAAGTCCATGCTGCAGCTTTTCAGCAAATGAGGTGTTAATAAGGCCTCTTTCAACTGCCTAGCTGCCCATTTTCATGGCATTTACAAGATCTGGGTATTCTTTAGACTTCCACTCCTCAGGCAGACATGACAAACTGGCTAAAGAATTCAAAGGAATTTTAGGGAGCTGACAGGAACAGCACGGCTTCTTAAAAAGCCGGGATAGGAGAAAAGTGTCTTTCACCAGGACAGATTCCACAGTGAGAGGTGGGGCCTTGGTCTTGTTACTAGCCAGGAAAACATTCAGACAGAAGCTCCACAAATAAGCAGCATACTCTTTTTCAGAGGCTTCTCTCTAAAAAGGCTTTCTTCTGTTACATAAGGAAGGAAAACTGGGAAGAGTATGGAAGAATGTGGTTGGTGCTTATACTATACCTTTGGGATTTTTTTGCCCAGAGGAGGGATCTGCACAGAAGGAATCAGGTCCTTTATGTGGAGCCCAACTACTTCTTCCAATGTTGGGTAGCCATGGAGATGGGCAAAAATGAGGTCACATGATGTAATCTCTCCCTTGGGAAGAAAATTTACAGGACTATTTTAATTTTAGACACAGTCCACTCAATCCTTTAACAACAGTTTTTGCAAATATGTATGCAAATGGAAGGAAGGTTCATTCTGCAGTCTCTTCATGGATACAACTACCTCAGTAAAAGCAGACACAGCATAATGCAATACTTCCCCGACATTATCAGGCAGAGCCTGCCCCTTGCTGTAGGGGGGCAGGGGACTCCAACACTCCTCACAGAACTTTTCCTCTGTAAGCTGATCCCTTCACAAGAGCATCCCTGCTGTGAATAACCAACCACCTGCCAAACAATCACTGTTGGAGTCTAAGATGTCCGCAGAGGACAGACAGTGCATTCTAATGCGACTTGTCGAATACATCAAGACGAGCCACACGCATGAAATACGCACAGGTCCTGCATGTGCAATCCTGGTTTCAGGCAGTGCTATGTACACACTTCATGCTCACAAACAGGAACGTGCCTACAGGCTTTTAGACACGTTTCAGTCACACATTAACTCTCACAAACTGCGGTCTCATTTGGTCGTTAGGAAAACACTCACATTAACCGTGAAGGAAACAGAAGCTGAAAGTCTTTCCACTGGTTCCAGCACAACCACACAACGCTGGTTGTCCTTGTTTCTTATTCGCTTCAGCCACACCGAGACAGGGATCTTCTCTTTGAGACGGCCTATAACATCCACCTTTCCAGGGGATTCAGAGGTATAGTCATAATTTACTAAGACTGTGGTTACTTAGCAAGAATTCCAAACAATAAGATACTGAGCCAAGATATCTCCCTGTCGTTGTTAAAAAAACATTGTTTCTTGACTACTTACTTAATAGTTTTTTATTGGAAGAAAGTCAGTTTTAATATAGAGATGAAAAAGCTTGCAAATCATTCACTGATCATACACAAAATGTTGTTGTTCCTTTTGTATCTTCTCTCCCCACCTCAGGAAAACTAAAGGCCAATCTAATACCTTGCATTCAGTGAGAAGTGCCTTTCAGAGATGCATTATTTAAGGGATGTCCCACGGTGCTAATGAATACTCCACATTAGTAAACATAGTTCTTACTTTCAGCTGGAAAAATAGCACTTTAATTTCCTAGGGGAATAGATTCTTCTCAAATCAGAAAATGTTTATTTATCTTATATCCTAGAGTGTTCATATCAGGCCTTTTATCATTTTTATGTGATCTTGACAGGATGGGCTTATGAATTACACAGTGACTCCTACAGAGTACTTGTACTTGGAATTAGTGCCTTTATCAGACATTTAATTTGATCCTGGATTTCACTGAATCAAACTTAGATTTTTTTTCTTTTTTCCCCCCATAGCTAACTGAGGATTCAGGAAGATCAAGCTCCAAGATGCTGACAATTTCACTACAAAAATAACACATCAGGAATAATACGAGCTAATTTTTCAAATATTTTCTCGTGACAGCTCACAAGAGCAGCAAAAGAAAATAATTTTGAGATATTTCTCATGCAATTCTTTTATAAACAACTCCACTATAGGCAAAATATCAATTTCACTCTTTTGTACCAACAAAGGTGTTTTGGCACAGGCCTTTCACAGTATTTGACAGACTTGTAACTTTATAATATGCACAGTGCAATTTAAGATAATTTTAAAAATATTTTTAAAAAGACCAGACAATTGGGAACTTTTCCGTAATAGGTTTTTCCATGTGAAACAATTATATTGATTTTCTTTAAAAAGAAAACTTTAAGTTCTGCTCAGCTATGAGGCTCTCAAGGGTGCCTCCCAAAACCATCTTTTGCCCTCTGAATTCCAACATCTGCAAACTTTTAAACCGAACAGTCGTACATATTACGTAATTGCTAAATGTCCACAAAATTAAATGTATCAGGAAATTATACTGAAAATGTCAAAAAAAACAAACCAAAACAAAACAAAATCCCAAACCAAGTCCTACAAAACCACCATATATAATGGGGAATATTTCCTTGAACATTTCACATACCACAGTTCCTGAAGCCACCGATGAACATTCATCAGTTCCTATGTACTCCTCACCCACAGCTCCCCATAGCTCTTGGCTAGATTTGGATATCAAGCTGGACAGCTTTTGACCAATGAGTTCCTGACTACTGCACCCAAGCAGCTTGCAGGCTTTGTCGTTAGCCACTAGGATCTAGAAAAGCAGGAAGAAAAAAAAAAAAAAACAAAAAAACAACGAATAAAAATTCTAAGGTTTGTTAATTGATCATCATCATCATCTCTGGCTGTTGCTTTAATGTCTTATAATATCCCATCCTCTATGTAGAAATGGAGTGGTTCTTTAAAATTCTGAATTCTTCAAAAACAGTTCACTAAAGCTTCTTATTCTAGGACATCCTTTGCCCACACATTTTCTTGATTAAGAGGGTTTGAGACATTGCTTTCCGTTTAGGTTTCCTGCTTTTTTTTAACTGCCTACCTGCTCCAGCCTCTTATGTTGTTTAAATAATTGCAACCATGGAGGCAAAACTACAAAGCTGTATTTGCAAGCAAAGCCTGGGCAGACCACAAAATTTTATCCACGCCTGAAGGCATGCAGTAATCACACCAGCCATTGACATTAAGCCTGTGTTACAGAACAAGTCAGGATTAAATGCCTTTAAAATGAGTAAACCTGAACTGTCAGTTCAAGCTACAAATGGCACAGCTCTTTAAAGTATTCAGTACTCAATTTTATATGAATGCTTACTCTCGGGACAGAAACAGAGAAATTCTCCCCCTCCCAATGCAAAAGGCATATTTACTGTGTTAGATAGAGACCTCATGCCACCACAAACCCATCCCATGGTTGGCACTTAATAGAAGGCTTGAAGCACATTCTGCTTGTCTTCCCTCATGCTGCTTGACAGCTGCATTCTTCTTTATTCCCTTTCTCTGTTTGAGAAAAAGACTCAAGACATCCATGCTTCTGACACTGTCTTGTATATTTTGCTAACTACAACCTGCAGCGAAAATAAGTGTGTTGTCAGTCTTTAGAAGACTGCTGAGCTTGAGCAGACAATAAAATGCCTTCATGACACTGATTACTATAGATACATATAAGAGTAACAGGCATTTTAGCCTGTCTGATGTCATACAACCTACACCAGTTACAGCCTGGTTAGTTTAGCAGTTACTAATGCAAATACCTCTGTTGTGTTGACATCCACTGTGAAGATGGCTTTGTTTGGATTGCGTGAAGCAGTTGACAGGTGCTGGCTGGATTCCTCCACAGCAAGGGCAGGCAAAAAGGAACAAGAAGCAGAACTTCCAATGGAAGTAGAGAGAGAGGCAGAATCCCACTTAGCCCACAAGTTACCAGTTTTGCTGGTACAAATGTTACAAGCTGCCAGTGAAGACAAACAGTAAGGGCTCCACTCCTCCCCTGTGAGAAGATAAAGATCAGCTATGTAGCTATAACAGCCTACTACAGTAGTATTAGAGGAATGAATTAAAAAAAAAATTAGTTGTCAGCTGAAGCAACTGTCAAGTAATCCCAAAATATATGCTTCTAGATTTTTTAAGAAATTACAAGAAAACAAAATCAATTAAACTAAAGAAAACAGAAGCAATTCTGATAAATATCTCTTTTTGAATCACAGCCACTGGAACAATTTAACTCAGTCCATAGGCTAGAAAAAAAATTGTCAACATCCATAAGATTCAACCAGACTAGTCAACTTTTTTTCACTTAAGAGAGTTTAAAAGGTTTTGAAATCTCTCAAGTTAAAATTGAACCGGTTATTAAATATAATTACACTGTTTTCAAGCCCTTACTAAATACTGCATTAGTCAGAAGCCAGTTAATTAACTGTTCACAAGACGTGACACTGAAATACCTGTGCCCACACCAATGTTTTATGTTACATAATGCCAAGTGATTATACTAAAGTTTTCAAAAGGTCTGCCTGTAAAAAAAAATGTTTCCCTGGGAAGCAGCATCAGCAGCCAAATGCCATCACTCCACTCCCAAAACAGTAAGCAGCTTTGAAGGCTTAGCAGCACTGGAAGAAGCATTATGAACAACTCATCGCAAGGACATCTCTACATTTATGCACTGCGTACAGTATGAATATGCTCATAAAATAGGGAGGCCCGTATCTGGAAACATTGTAAGCTGAAAAGTTCTTCCCCACCTAACAGAATCCAGTATAACAACATCTTTCTCCTCATTTGGAAATTTTTCATGTTTTAGGTAACAATACAAGATGGCAGGATGGTCCAAAGGCAGCCAATAAAGGTTGCCCAGGGACAAATGCAGAGCACCTGTCCAGCAACACGTCCCCTGTAAACTCTCCCAGCCTCCAGTAATCTACGGCTCAGATGCTTATTGCCATCGCCTCTAGGTTTGGGGGTGGGGGGAAGATCTGAAACGCTCTAAAACACATCGCCTTCGCTGACAACACGTAAACTCAGTATCAAAATACTATGCTCACCAGACAGAGATGCTCTAAGCCGGCAGAGTTGAGAGAGCTGACTTTTCCTGCTTTTGCTGATCCACGGGTAGGATCTACTTAGCTTATCAGAGTCATTCAAGTGAGGAAGGACTAAGCCTACCGATGAAGGCAGAAGGCCCCCTTCAGAGGGGCTGTACGCCTCAGCCGCCATGGTCACGTTCAGGTTGCCACACCACACCGACAGAGCCACCATCTGCAACAGAAACACAAGAAATTCAGTCGCTCTTACAGTTGGGCACTAACGCTCCAGACATTGGTGGGTAATGATGCCTTCTAGCCCAAAGCACAGCCTTGTAGGTTAGTTACACACATTCTTGCACATCCCGATCAGCATTTGGTCAGTGTTGTTAAGGTAAAGGTGACTCTATTGATCATTATCCTGCCCAGCAGCACAGGTTACCTGTGATCAACAGACACACCTCCACCATACAGCTGTAAGAGCTACCAAGCACCCAGCCAGCGCTCTCCCCCCATTCCCGCTCGTTTTAAAAGCAAAAGCTTTGGTTAATTGGGAAGTAATTCCCAGGTTTGACTCAGCAAGCGTGGCACAGCCCCCCGCCCGCCCTCCCGGGCCCGGCCGAGCCCAGGCCCCACCAGCGCGGCCCCCGCCGAGCCAGCGAGCGCGAGAAAGTGAGGGGCGGGACCCGGCAGCCGCGTCGCCCAATAAGCGAAGGCATTGGGAAGAGCGGCAAGGAGGAAGTCCAATGGGGCGCTGGCGCGGGAAGAGGAAAAACAGCCGGCGTCAGGGAGTCTGTGGCTCCCTCCGGCCTATTCTTCCCCCTCCGCCGCTACCGCCACACACGATGCCCTGCTTCGAGCCGGCTGCCCCACCCGACCTGCCCCAGGATCCCAGCTCCGCGGGTGGAAGGCACCTCCGCAGGATGACAACCACCCTCCGAAGACTTTGTAGGCGGAACGGCGAAGCCGAAAGCAGCTCATACCGCCTCAAGCCCGTGGCGCTGGTGGGAAAGGAGCAGGTACTCGGCCGCCACAACAGCGCCCGCTCCCCACCCTGCCCGCAGGGAACTACAACTCCCAGAGGGCCGCGGGGGCGTACAGCGGAGCGCATGCGCGCGGGTGATCGGCAGCCAGGGCGCTGCCCCGCCCCTTCGGAGCCCCGCCTGTAGAGGTGATTGGCTGCGGCGCCCAACCAGCTGTGGGCTCTGATTGGTGGCGATCACGGTAGCGCCGGTTGCCGGAAGCGGGCGGTGGGAGGAGAAGCAATATGGCGGCGGAGAGCGGCGAGGGACCGCAGGAGATGATGGAGGGTGAGAGCCTGCCGGGGCCCGGCACGGCTGCGGCCGCTGAGGGGGTCGGGGCGGCTCTCCGCTCGGTAGGGCGGCTGCCAGCTGCTCGCCGTGGGGTTCGCGGGCCCTCCGCGGCTGGGCAGCCCCTGGCTGCACACCCCGAGGGCGGCTGCCCGTGAGGAACGGGGCCCTGGCTGGCGCCGGGCCGGGGGGAGCGGTCGCACCAGGGGCATGCCGTGGTGCCTTCCACCCATCTCGTGGGGGCTCCACGCGCGAGAGGTGGGAGGAGTGGGTTTGCGGAGACGACCGTGATGTAAAAAGATAAAGATAATAAGAAAGCAGTCCCCTGGCGTGGCGTTGCTTTTCCTCAGTCACCCCATGAAGCGAGAGCAAATACTGAGCGGGGGGCGGAGGAGGAGCGAGGAGCTTCAGGTGCCCAGGGCCAGGGTGGCCGTCAGAGTTGTGGCTGGGCAAATGGTGAAGGGATCTCGCAGGTTATGCTGGGGAGATGGTTGCTTTTATCTGCAGAGAAGTTTTAATTTTTTTTTTTTTTTTGACGGCTTCACTTCTTTGTGTCATTGGTACTATTGTACGTGATACTGATTTTTTTTTTTTTCTGAAAGCTTTTAAAATGTAATAGTTCTAATTCCATTTCCGTAATCTTTGGAATTGCACTTCATTGATCTAAGAAATTTCCTTTTTCCTCCAGTCTTCTTCCCAGATTGTTGGTTTTAGGAAGATGTGATGGGAGGAAAAAGTGCATCCAAAATCAAAGTAGAAACAAGGGGTAAGAGGCCTTTTATTTAAGACTAAACCTTTCATTTAGTTAATTTAGGATTTCTACTAACTGCATAGTGGTATATGTGAATCCTGGTTATTATATCTGCTTGCTACTTCTTCCCCCCACCCCACTTCTGAAAATAGCCTAATTCTGCTGTTATGTATCTTATGCAGTTGATAAACGGATTGAATCGGAGGAGTCAGGAGATGAAGAGGGGAAGAAGCAAGCAGTTCGCTTAGTAACAGACCTCAGTCAGCAGAGCCTGAGAGATGAGCAGAACGGCGAGAACTCCGCAGGTACCTTAGCGGCTGAAACGGTCGCGTTAGGAAGCGTTGTCTTACCAGTGTGTACAGTAGCATACATATATCAGTCCTTTGTGTTTTTTGGGGCTAGTGATGGTTGTATCAATGTTAGTAAACAACGTGAACCTGCCCTAGACCAATCTTCTTTCAAAATAAACAAACAATAGTGTTATCATTGCTGCTAAAATAAAGCTGCGGCCTTTTTACGGAATTACTGATAATAGACCTTTGGATTTTTAAATTTATTTAGCCATCCACATTTCTCTCTGAAATCTTTAATATCAAAATGCGAAACACCTTTTTTTTTGTGGAAATGTAGTAACTTTTTGTGGAAAGATGCTGGAAATGTTCGTTAGAAATAAACATAAGCAGCTTTTTGTAATTCTGCTTTAGTGTATGTAGATTTTACCTAAAGAGTGGCCAGATTCCTTTGGAAGGCAAAGACAACTATTTCTAGATAGATTGAAGGAAGCTCTACATTTTATTTTCTTAATTTAAAAATTCGAAGAGACATCAAAATCATATCTGTTTGAATCCTCTTGACATTAAACTTTTGCTACTGTTTTTACTGTTTGTATTGGAACATTGGGTAGAAACATTGACAGACTTTTCTTAAGCCTGTGTGTGTTTGATGGAAGGGTTTGTTTTTCAGTAGATTGCGCAGAATTTGTCAGAGTAGATCCATTTCTGAAGACCCTGTATGGCAATATAATCTGGGCATTTGTTGCTAGCTAACGATCTGAAATGTAGTAGTGTCCTTTTGATAGAGGTGTTCTTGTGATTTTTATTGGTCTGGAAATGGAAGTGAAATATTACAGCAAATCTTCTGCAGCAAATTTTAATCCTTTTTGTCTCTGCATCTACTGCAGATCCTGCCTAATCTTAACCTTGCCCACTAGGATTTGAAAAAGTATTTTCCAAAGTGGTAAATTATTACAAGACTTTTAAATCTCATTTCCTAACTAAATGAACTCTATCTAGGTCTTAATTCATTGCTGATCATAAAAAAAAAAAAACCATATATTAATTTAAAAATGCTGTGGTGATGTGTATAAAAGTGTAAGAGCACACCTTGCAAGTTGTACATCCCAAGCGCTATATGATTAATACAGCCATGCAGATCAGTTGGTCACAGTTTGCATGCATGTAACACTCAGTGTTTGTTCAGCTGATGTAATTTAGCTGTGTGTTTGAGGTTATATTTTTGTATGTTGTTCCCCCAGGGATTGTAATATTAGCAAAAATACTTCAGGTCACATACTTTTATTCCAGTGAAAGCAAGAAAGACACATTCAGATTTGGTCACTGGATTACATTGGATACTATTTAATATCATGACTATATTGTTATTTCTTCTTCCAAACCATTAGGATTCAGAAAACTTCTACTAGTACAGAAACCAAGCAGAAGAATAATTTTGGAACATTTGAGTTAGTTTCCACAGCCAGCTTTGAGTTTGTCAGCTGAAAGGAAAATGAAGAGTTTTCCACACTTTTTCACTGAAGATCATAAATAGAAAGAGCTCAAGCAGCTGAAATTTAAAATTCATCATTTAGGTAATTCTCTGAGGACTAGTGCCTCTGTTTAAAAGGCTTATAACTTAGCTATTTATAATATTTTTCATGCTTGTGCAGTTAAAAAGTGTGGTTAGGCTCTTAGTCACTTTAAATGCTTGTGGTACTGTGAACTTACATAACTCAGGAACTACTGTTCTGTACTGCGGAATTCGGGTTTCCTGAATGTCGTATTTTTTTCCTACATCTGCAAAGCTGTGTAGCTTGCAGGCATGGATTACACAAAAATTCACTTAAGTAACTTCACTGTCAGAGCAATGTTTTTTCCCCTTGAGAAACCTACAGCATTAAAAATTGTGGACTAAAGCGCTGTTTCATACTTACTGCATGCAAGTGAAACTGCACTTCTGTTTGTAAAGTGATTGTAGAAGGGTCAGTTTAGGTATTTTATGTCCACTTGGTTCATAACTAAAATGTTGATTGGCAATTGATAGGACTGTAAATTTGCTAGAACCATTTTTGTTTATTTTCTTTGAGAGAAAATGTACTTTAACATTCTCATATCAATACTGATTTTATCAGTGTTACCAGTATACACATCTCAGACTGTTATATGGAGAGTGTTGTATACAGGGTATATAAACTTTGAGAGTTGGCCTTACTACGTAAATGCTAGATATATATTATCCATAAATGCTTTGTGTTCAGTTTTAAATGGCTTTTATTTCAGTGAATTTGGTACACATACCCGGTGTGATTTGGTTTTGCACCTTCGGACCTGAGTGCTTTTTTCCCATGCTGGTTCTACCAGGACTGGTCACTCAGAACTGTATATGAGGAGCCACCCTTTGACAGATCCAAGAACAGAGTATTTAACACACTGCCAAAAACAAATGTGTATAAATGGTCTGTAATGGGTGCTGTGATGAAACACGTACTTTTATAGAGAAGCCTGCCAACTAAACAATGTCAAAGAATTTTTTTAACTTGTATTTTATTATTGTTGAGGTATTTCTTTACTGAGTGCATGACTGGCTATACTGCTGGATAACTCTGAAGTCTCAAATGGAGAAATTCTTTTACCATGAGCATGAGCTTATTGGTAATACTACTTAATACAAGGGGAATAGTTTGGGTTTTCATGGGATCTCAAATAACTGTTGTTCCAAACTTGGGCTGTGTTCCCGTTGGCTGTAAATTCAGCTTGGGTGCTTGTTTGACTTAGAACACTTTGTGCTGGCAGCCTTTGCACCCTAGCAATAGGTCAAAGAGATGCACCCTTGGTAGCAGCAGGGTAGGGTATTGCACTCCCCTGCTGAAGTGCATAGCTCCTGATCTGGAAGAAAAATAAGAAAATTCAAGTGTTGCCCACTGCTAAAATGCTGACAGACGTACATATGCATGTCAGTGTTGGTGGTATTTCTGTACTGCCATTCAGTGTCACAAAGCCTACCAGCTTGTTTCGCATCCCCAAAATGCTCCCTGCTAATTTATGCTATAAAGAATATTAAAAGATGGAGGACAGAGGATTGCTTTTCAGATCTAACTTCCCGTGAGTAAGTTCAGTTAGCGCTCTTTCCTGTTCGAATGCCCAGGCAAGAGCAGAAGCCCAGATACAGCAGGGTAAATGATGCTGTGTGGAGCTGTCAAAACCTTGGAGTTTGATGGCAGGATTAAAAATT